GGAAGAGGGGGTCCAGCTGGAAGCCAGTCGGGACCTGGAAGCGCCTTGACTGTGGAAAAAGGCGCCCGGGAACCCGCGATTTACTCCTGAAGATCAAAACCACAGAATCCGCGCACAGTCTATGAGGTTCCGTTGGAAAAATGAATATTCTTTGTTTCCTGATTGCTGTGCGGACAAAAAATAAAAAATAAACCCTGTCCTAACAGCTGAGAATCCTTTGAAGGAAAACAGGCGTCAGGGTGACTGAGTGCCCTGGTTCAAGGCGACGCGGCTTCTGTGCTGGGGGTGGGGGGCCCCTCAGACTTGTATTTGGAGAGACAAGGGTGAGGGGTGTTCTGAGGTCTCCTTCAAGCGCAGGTGGCAGAACCTGTACTGATGGGGTGGGGGTCACTCATTTAATGTCACGTGAACTTTTGCCAAAAGTGACGTAAGTGAAGTCTCAGCACAAGTGTTGGGACTGTATTGTCCCCAATTGCCAACCCCTCCCCAGCCCTGTAGAACTGTCCAGCCTCCTCCCCCCGCCCCTGGCTTCCCGGACCCCCAGGACCTGCGGGGGGGCCTGCGGCTGGCGCCCCCACTCTGAGTGGACAAAGGACAGCGGACCAGGAAGGAGAAGCCACGGGCTTCTCAACAGGTTAAAAGGCTTGACGCATGTGTGTAGAAACCACCAGCAGGGGGCGTCTCAGCAAAGGGCCAGGATTCCCCAGAACTCACACCGGGAGTCACCTGCTGAAACATCACCACTGACCGCTGACCGCTGCAGAGCTCCTGTCAAAGTCCAAAGACAAAGTCCCTGAAAGGACTCGGCACCCCCACCCCCACCCCACCATGCTTACTGCCCAGGTGCAAAGGAGGCCGGATGCCCACTGCCTCCCACCCCAGCTGACTAAAACGCAGATTTGTTCCCAGCACTTCCTGGGTACTTTCTCCAGCTCCAGCGAAGCGGGGCACTCCAAGGGTGACCTCCCCCCCTCACTTCCTCATTCGGCCCACCATGGGGTCCCTGCGGAAAGCCTTGGCCCATGTGGCTCCCACCCCCCTGAGGTTCTCCTGGACCCTCCCACCCACAGGAGGTCGCAGCTCCTTGCTCTGCAGAGCTGCAGTGTGACTGAGGTGCAAGCTCTCAGCCCCTGGGGATGCCCCTAGGCAAGGCGCCTTCCTTGCCTAGGTATTGAACGAATGGAGGGACGGAGGGGCTGCATGGCCTGGTGCCATGTGGGTTAGGCCCTGAGTCCCAAGTGAGGACCCACCTCTGACTGTTTCCAGGTGACAGAAGACACTCAAAGACACAGCGCTGAAGTCAGGGCACAGTTCTCCTGATATCCCACCCCCATCTGACACCCCACTTCACCCCTTCTCTCTGCCCAGCCCCCTGAGCTCATCAGTGACCTCAGCGCATCGGGTCCAGCTATCCCTGGATGGCTCCCACAGAATTCTCCACCTCGGCCTCCTGTCTGGTCGGAACAAGCTGAGTTGGGATGGACAACGGGGACTTTCCACGAGCACCGTCCTGCCCCTGCCCCCCACAACCACTGCTCATGCCCTCATGAGCCCCCTTAAAACATGCCCACCCAGGTGTCTCCCCGCAGGACACCCACGCACATGTCATGCAGCTGGAATCATGGGCTTTTTGTGGGAGCTGGGTGGATCCTAATCCCTATTTCAACCTTCCTGTCCCAAGGCATCTGACCCTGCTAAGGGGTCCAAGCTCCGGGGGTCACAGAGACCAACAGCACTAAAGACATCTTGGCCCAGAATCCTGCTGGCCACACAGCACCCCCCAGGCACACCCTGAGCCCCAGCTGCTGGGCTCCAGAGCCCCTCCCACCCTTAGGCTGGTCCAGTGGCTGCACCTTCCACCCACCCCCGTGGCCTGTTCATGCTGACCACCTGCTGGGTCGTCTCAGGCTTGGCTGAGACTGAGGCTTCACTGTCAGACAAACTGTGCAGAGGGGCCAGCCCGTCCCCAGGCCGGGCCACACGAACACAAACAGCCACACAAACCCCAAGTCCCACCGAGCCATCGCCCCCTGTTCTCCCAACTCCTGGCTACTCAGGCTTTCCTCCTTTGCCCAGACTTTCTAAGGTGCAGTTTCCCTTCCCTCTGCTGCCCCGCCGCGTGGGCATACCTGCAAATCCTAGCCCAGAGGTCCCCAAGCCTTCCAGTGACCTTAACTGCAACCTGAGACTAGGGCAGTGTGACCAGGGCAGAAAGATGGCACAGTGGTGGCAGGCAAAGTGACCTTCTCCCCAGCAAGGTGCCCTCCTGGGAGAGGAGTGCACAAGCCTGAAGCCTTCACTGCCATCCTGTCACCTGCCCGTCAGCCACCAGCCACAGGCCACCGCTCCAACCTGGACAGAGTTGGGGGCCAGGACTTCAAATCCCAGGTGTCGCAGCTAAAAGGCCCCAGCATTACACAAAATGACAGATCCATGAACAAGGCCCAAAGAGCGAAGTCCAACCCCTACACACACGCACACACACGCACGCACACACACACTCACACACACCCCTACAGCGTCGCTCATGCGCTGTGCAGAGCTGAACGCAAGCAAAGTGGAGTGTTCAGCTCTCTGGTCTTTGTGCAAGTGTCTTGGGAGTGTTCCAAACGCAGTTCACTATTATGTACGTGGCTTTTATCTTTCCTCCCTGGTTTGTGGTATTTAGAACTGGGTCACCTTTTAACTATTTGCAATGTACCTTCAGGGGAGAGGGAGGGGGCGGGCTTTATAAATAACCTTTATTATTATGATGCAGGTTGATTCTGCTCCCAGCGCTGAAGGGAACGTGAAGCTACATGTCAGTGACTCATCGCCACCGGGACACTGCCGAGAACTCGGGACGGCTCGGGCCCGGCGCTGCACAGGGTCCTCTGGGGCTGGCTGGGACCTCCTGGGCTGGTCCCCGTGCCATCAATCGCTTGAAGCCAGGGGATTTCTGACAGGTTGACCTGGCTCCTGTGTGGTTTTCAAATCCTGTGTCCCAGGACAGTCGCGGGGGCAGGGGCAGTGGACCCAGGAGCCCAGGCAGGGGCTCAGGCCTCCCCTACACCCCACGCAGTGCTGCCCCAGCACCCCACGGCTGCTCCCCTCCCGCCTGAGGGGCCCTGGCTGTTCAGGGGTGGGGGCTGAGGACTTTAATAGACACCTCTACCCATGCCAGTCACAGTTCCAACTTGGATCATCGTCGGACACCTGCTTGTCACGTTGTCGGGAGCCAAGTGCCAGCAGAGCAAAGAGCCATAACATGGAGGGGCTTCGGCTGAGTCCAGGGGCCCAAGGATGAGTAATTTGCAAATAAAACCAGAACCACACAACAAACCCTCGCAGTGACTCCCCGTGACACCCATACTGCCACAGTCACCGAGGCCACCTGTGCCTGCATCACTCACAGTCCAGCAAACCAGGTTTCTAACTACCAGGCCTCATCTCCCTGTTACTTTGCTTTTTAATGTTCGGTTTGATAAGTAAAATCTCTTGGTTGAGTGTCAACCTATGAACTAGGCGGTCACGGTTCGATTCCCGGTCAGGGCACATGCCCAGGTTGTGGGCTCGATCCCCAGTAGGGGGCGTGCAGGAGGCAGCCGGTCAATGTCTCTCTCATCATTGATGTTTCTCTCTCTCTCCCTCTCCCTTCCTCTCTCTGAAATCAATAAAACATATATATATTTATTTATTTATTTTTAATCTCTTGGTAGAAAATCCAGAAAGATATATGATGTCATGGTCACTAGCTAGTCCACTCAGCCTTTCTGAAAAGAAGGGAACATAAGCTTTGCCCACCCAGCCACCCTGGTGAGCTGGCCAGTGAATGCCCCACTGCGATGGAGGCCACCCCAAAAGGTATGTTTGGGGCTGTTCCCATCTTTCTCGCTTCTCACGGGACAGAACTGCCAGGCCAGGGAGCGGCCCCCGCTTTGCTGAGTGCAGACTGGGGTTCTCCGCCTCCTCCACGGGCTTCATTCCTAAAGCAGGTGGAAGGCTTTCACGAGGGCAAGCAGGCACGTACACGCGGAGGGCCTCAGATGGTGGCTGCCTAACTCTTTGAACCGAGTCCCCACCCTGTTAGCATTTCTATTGTGATGGCCTCCCTGTTCCCTTTCATCTTCACCACCTCTGCCCGCCCCACTTCTACCTGTCCCAGTGCACCAGGGACCTTGAGTGGCAGTAGAAAGTTGCATTTAGTGCATAGCGACACCCCTCCTGGCTCCCGGGGCAGCAGCCCCCTTACCTGTGCAGGGCTCCCATCGCCGGCCACCTCGGCCTGGAGTCACCAAGGGCAGGAGCACGACACACAGCGTCAGCAGGATAGACATGAGGGGTCTGGGTCCCAAGCTCCATCCAGGGCCCGGGCCTGGCCCGAGGGGAGGCAGCTGCTCCTCAGACACCTGGGTCAGCCCTTCCACGGGGGGCCCCTGGCAGTCACCGGGATGACCACATGCCCAGGGCCTGCGGCAGGGACGGAGGGGGCCCTGGCGGTAGCCAGCTTCCAGCAGCTCCGCCGGGGAGGCAGGTGGTGCTGGCAGGTCGGGGCTGCGTCTATCTCCTCATTTCTGCAGGGGCTCAGGTCCTGCCGCGCAGGTGACAGCCGATAACATCTCTGCACGGGCCTCGATTAGTCATTGGCAAAGCTCATTTTTCCCAAAGGAACGACAGAAATAGATCGTCGGCCAGCGGAGAGCTGAGAGCAAACCAGAAAAACTCAGAGAACCTGTTTTCCTCGCACGGAGACGCCGCCGGCAGCCTTTTAGGATGGAATCGGCCACAGCTGGGGAGGGCCTCGAGCGGATCCCGGGGCGCGGGCGGTCCCCGCTCTGCTGGGGTCCCGAAGACAGGTCCCCGCACTCTCCTGGGGTCGCAGCCGCAGGTCCCCACGCTCTGCTGGGTCCCCTGGTGGCAGCGGCAGGTCCCCACTCTCCGCAGTGGACGTCCCCCTTTTATCTGGTGCCCGGCCCTCCGGAGGGTGTGTGGGTTTGTCAACTGTTGGGTTTCAGGAATTTCCCTCCGGAGGGAAGTCAGTCCTTCATAGGAACAGCTAATGAGGAGAGAGGAGAGTCGCCGCCCGCCGGGGAGGGGAGTGAGCGCGTGTGTGCAGTTTGTGTCTTCAAGGCCTGGGGTCACTCCCCTCTGACCTCTCCAAACCCCAGCTGACAAGCTGCCCCGGGCCTTTCAGCGTGACTGTTCTCCATAAAACGCCCCACCTGCCTGCCCCTCCCAACAGTGCTCCAGGGGAGGCTGGAGGCGGTTCCCCCGCAGTGGGCAGGGATTTACGCCACTGGAGGAGACCCTGGCCTCCCACGCCCACAGTGGCTGCTGTCCCTGGGTCAGTGGGATTCCTCTCAGGGCCCCTAAAGTGAATGTTTCAAAGGGACAGGTTGCCCTTGTGAGCCCCGAGCTCCCCTGGGGAACCCCAGCTCCAGGTCTGGGCAGAGACTGCGTGGGACACAGGTGTTTGTGGAAAGCACACACCCTGAGGTTAGGGCTTGCTGGAGGGTGGGGACAGAGGCAGAGCGAGATAAAGACGGGGAGAGAGACAGAGACGGGGAGGGAG